CCTAGAAAATAGGCTTTTTTGATGAAAGGTCAAACAAATTTGAAAGTATCTTACAAGGGAAGGATACTCACTCAGTCGGAGTGACGATTCAAGAGCATACCAATAGATGCAGTTTCAGACGCTGATTCCAAATCTGCCTTCCATATCTGCGAAGCGTCTCTGGAGGAAGTTATGAGCGTTTGAAAATTCCAAGCGTCAGTGCCACCTCTATCAAAGAGAACCAATGGTTAACCTACGAAGTGGCATATATTGGTATGTAGTGGTGGGTATGCCGGCTTGTTGAACTGATTGATGCAGGTTCGATTCTTTTCACCTCGAAACACTTTTACATTTTTGAATGTTTTAATTTAATTGTAATGGATGCTATTCATAAATGAATGACGCATTTTCACTTAAATGATGATTTTAAACAAGTTTTTGAATGTGAGCGTATTCGCTTTCTATAAAATCTATTCCCCTCAAGAATTGTTTGAGCATAACTTGTTATCCAGCAAAGGATACATTTTTACGAAATGATATGCTATTGCAAAGTGTGTGAAGCATAAATGCCTTTCGGCACTGAAGATTAATTTACTGCAGCCATTACATTTGAGTCTACCATCATGCTGGAAGAAAAACAAAGACTAGGGGTTTCAAACAAGCTAGTATGTTCTTCTATATAGCCAGCCGCATACCGTGATTAAGAGAGGAAATTTTGAAAACGGGGAGAGCAAAACTTAGAATAGATGGGCGAAAAGAACCTGATTATGGAATCTATATGGTGCAAAGGAAAATCAATCTCGAGGGCATTACATACCAGAGAGACGCTTCGCAGATATGGAAGGAAGATTTGGAATCAGCGTCTGAAACTGCAAATACTGGTATACATTGCTTCTTGGATCGTCACTTTGACTAAGTATCCTTCCCTTGTTAGTAAAATTTCCAAAAAAAATGTCAAGAAATGCCTTGACGATGAGCAGAAAATTGCAAATTTTGGACAGATTGTATTTCAGCGATTTCAGCTCCTATTTCGTAGTGTCAAATAGCAAAAGCTCTAGTTCATTCCTTTTAACACTTTTATTTACCAACTACCTTCTATAGCGGGGAAAAAACTTTAAAAAAGTAACTTTTGCGATGCCTAACCTTGTTCGATTGTAATCATACCTTATCGCTAACGAAAACCCTCATCTTCAATTACAAATAGCAGAAGAGTAGTAGTAATTTAAAGCTTTTCATGAGCTCAATGACAGTTCGCAGTCCGCTAGATTTCTGAATTGATTTCTTTTGCCAAATTAATAACAGTTGTAGCGGCTATTCCTCAAGATACATAGTGATTTGAGATTTGATACAAAAATTCTTGCCAATGTACTAAAAGAGGATGCTTTGAGCAATGAAAATCATTTTTGAAAGTTCTTAACGACTTTCTAGCAGATTAATCAAACATTGTTCTTCTTGTTAGTTAAGATACCTGAGAAATTTGTTCTGAATCTTAAAATTCCATACTGTGATCATTGTCCGCCTAGAGGTGGCCCAGAACGTGGATAATATAGACTAGTTATGCCGTATTTAGGCTTACAACTGTGAGAAGTGATAGCTCAAAGTGCATCTTTTCGTACCGAACCAAAGCCCCACTCCAAAAGTATATAAATACCAGAAAACATGACCTAATCACG